CTGTTTTCTGTGATTGGGAGAAAATTACTTGTGTTTTAAAAATAAAAAAAGTATATTTGCTCTGTTTCAGGTTTTGAGGCTTGTTTGTAATAAAAATGGGATACCTTAGTTACTTTGTTGGATCACAGGTGTTTCTAAAGAAACAGAATACATTTGTACTTGACTAACAATTCCAGCTGTCTTTTACATCTTCTAGCCTCTTGGTAGGAAACGCATGCACGGTGTAGTAATAGTTTAGTGATGGAATAAGGGTGGTATAACAAATTCTTTTATGGATTGTTAATATGAACTTTTAAATAGGTGCTGATTGTCTTTTCTGGATAGTCTCATTGATGGTGTGCTCTGGCAAGAAGAGAGCAGAATAAGTTCTGTAGCCCGGCTGAGACTGAGTTTGTTTTGTCATTTTAATGAATGTGACCCAAGCTGTATAAGAGCTCTGCTTGACTAGCATTTGCTTCTTATAGGCAATTGTAATTTGCTGGTTGACTGTTTGCTTTCCATCACGAATATGAGTTGTCTTCAGCTTAAGGTGTGTAGAGAAATAGTCTGGTGTATGCATGATAGTTTTGTTGTTTTTTTTTTTTCATTTCACCACTGTATGGATTTAACGCTTGTCAAGAGTCTGTGGTAGTTACTTCTCTAAAGCAAAATTGCATTCTTAAATGAGTTAGGAAATCTGGATAGGTTTTTTCTGCCTTTTTTTAAAAAAAAAGAAAACCTGCGGCAGTCTAGGGAGAAGTTGTTAAGTTCATAAATGTAAATATAGTGAATTGTACCAGAACTTGATCTGTGCCTGATCCTCGTGACTACTGAATTAGTACCAAAGTGAATAAAAGGGACTAGTAGTAATCCAACACAAAAGCCTCAAGGAATATGAAATTAGAGATTTAGTTAGATCAAAGAAAGCAGTGCAACTAGTGGTTAATGATTTAATGAAGGATACAGACACCTCTTATTTTTCACACTCTGCTGTTCTGCTGTGGTAGAAAACATTTGTTAGCTTTCCTTTTTATGGTGCTTAGAGGCAAATTCTACTTATCAGCAAGCAGTAAAAGATGGCAGGTGATGGAAAAAATGGGGGAATGAAAGAGAATTGAAACTTAAACAGGAAGGATGCTGCTTTGTGATAGCCTGAATCCATCCAGCTGTGGGCTATAGAGAGGAAAGGTGTCTCTGCACCGGCTCAGGTGGTCGCTGGGTTCTTTGCCAGGCTGTTTCAGCACACTAGACTAGCAGAAAACTAATCTTGACAAAGAGAACAATTTTCTGCTTGTTTAGCATACTGAAATGGTTCAGCCGAAGGTTTAAGTTCTGGAGAAAGAATAAGGAAGGGAGCAGGGGTAAATAGCAAAAGGCAATATGATAACTACACCCATCTTCTAGGCTGGTGCAAGCTACAAGCTACCACTAAGTCTCTTGGTGACCTTGTTCTTACAGAGAAACTACTTGGTTATCTTACAAGGGTAGACTTTACTGAGCTTTATCCTTTACAATTTATCATTGGATTTAAAAAAAAATATTTTTAAATGCTTATAAGAAGTAAGGAACATTTGAAGTCTGAACTCCTTTTGTTAAAGAGGAGGCAATTTGAGAGGCAAAGGCCTGTCAGACTGAAAGACTCTTTGAACACTGACCAATTTGTATTCAGAATTAAACAAAAGAAAAGATATAGATTACTGTCAGTTGCGACTCATGGTTTGCAAGTAAATGAGAGATGCAAGAATATTAAGTGAAAACTACGTGTTAGTAATTACCAGGATTTTGTGTAGTGGAAGTTCTCTGGTAAAGAACACAAGTTTTTATTGAATGTGTTTGTCTTAGAATCACAGAGTTAGTCTGCCACTGATTTTTTTCAATAGAGTTTCTGGTGCAAACTCCTCAAAGATGATACTCCGATACTTGAGTGTCAGCTTGGTCAGATGTTTCCTAGTTTTTTGGAGCAGGGAGGAGTTGGGTGTTTGGTTTTGGTGGGGTTTTTTTGCTTAATGGGAAAAATGTCACAGGCACAGTTGAAAACCTGCGTTGCTGGTTATGGGGGGTTAAGATTGGGCCTGTCCTTCCTAAAAAAAAATATTATCTGTTAAGTGGAAAATAGTTTCAATCTTGAATCCTTTTTAATATTTTACTAACCACTGTGCTACAGCAGGTGCCTGCTGATCACATTACTGTATTAGCTGACCTAGTTATGATCCTAGTCATCAGACAGGATGGTACGAAAAATGTTGTGCCTCTTCTTGAATCTACTATTATACATCTTCCCCAAGGCCATTCTTTTCATCCGTCTAGGAGGATACATTCATAGACTTTTGTGGAAAAAGAGATACTGGATCCTTTTTCTCTTGGCTACAGTAACTTCTGTAAATACTGTTGTCCATAACTTATTTACTATTCTGTGATTGTAAATTTTACCAGACTCATTCTGAATGGTCTAGCTAGCCAACAGTGAAAATACACTGTCAAAGTTTGTATGTCAGACATTGTAAAGGAGCTGTGATAAAAATGGTTCACCAACATTAATGAAAAGTTTGGGAAGATAAACTAGGAAAGGCAGCCTCAGTGTTGATGTTCACATCACTTGCATAAACTCTTGTGTGAAATCGTTAGCAAGCTGGTTTTGATTCAGTAACGTTTTTCAATTGTTAATATTTTTCATACTTGTTTCATAAAAAGTTTATCTTCACTGTTGAAAATGTGGTAAGCGTGAAGAGCCAGCAGAGAGTTGGAAAAATGCAGAAATTAACACAGTGGATGTTGTGTGAGTTGAGAGAACCTTCCACTGAGAGATGGAGAAGAGCTGGAGCCTGAAGCATAGGAAGAAGGAAAGGACTGTCCTTCCCACTGTAAGTGCATGTTCCAGGGGATGCCTCCAGAAAATGAAAAGCAAGCTTTGAAAGAGGCAAGAGGAGGCCTAGCACCACTGACAGTTTATGAGGGGGGGGGGAAGTATCTTAGGAAAAGGTGTCAAAATATGAGGAAGAGGTGACAACTATTTTTCAGCAAAGAAACTGGGAAGATGCAAACTCTGCATCTTGACATGCAAATGCTGAGGTGGGATACTGCGTTATTAACCCAGTTCATATGTCCTCTTGCCTCTCTTTTGCTTTAACACTTCACTTTCAAGGTAGTTAAGACGTTAGTCCAGCTCTGAATGATCTCATACATGACAGCTTTCTAAAGCATTTTCTGACAAAGTGGATCCTAGCTCAGTGGACCAAACAATTGAATTGATTCTGTAAGAAAGAAGCCCGAAGGGACTGATTAGAATAGTATTGGGTAGGTATTAATTATTTCCTCCTCCTTATAAAACGGTTTCCCAATCAAATGCTTAGTGTTTTGGGTTTTTTTAAATTACCTAGTTGATTCTATGCAAGTATTCTCCATCATCACCTAGTGTGATAATCCGAGTGCAGAATTATCCACTGTGCCTGGACAAATAATGGCTTTTTTTTTTTCTTTACAGAATAGATTTGAACTGCCCAGTGTCTTCTACCAAATGTGAATCTTAGAGTTTAGTATTTGTGGAGCCATAGTCTTCCCTGAATAGAATAGGTCTAGGCTTCTACTGTGTCTATCTTGCCTCTGGCTTGAAATAGGTCATCAACTTTATTACATTGCAAAGGAGTGCTTATTTGCAAAATTAATGCACAATTATCCGCAATAGGCAGATACAACTTGATATATTCCAGTATATCTGGAATATTTCCAGTCTTCTGGCTGTCTGTGTCCATGTTAGCCTGCGTCAGCTTCCTTGTGTCAGCAGCACTAAAAGGAGAATGAAATCTAATATCTTGTGATAGAGAACAACCTTGACCTAATGCTACCAGATAAGACAGAAAAATTTATTTGAGTCTTTTTTTGGAAAAATGATAAGATTATCCAAGCTCTAAAGGATTCATTACTTTTTCGTGGAACTACAATGAAACAGTGTGTCTCAGATAACCATGATGCTTCCTGTGGGAAGGGACTGGACTTGCATGTGGACAGTACTAGATGCATTGCAGATTTACTTCAGAATACATTAAGATTTCTAGCAACTTGTCTCTCAGGCTGGCATTGATTTTTGTATTTCTGCAAGATACTGGGCAGTTCTGGTTTTATGGTTTCGTACAGATGTGGAGTTTCATAAGTGTAGTGGAGTACTCATAAGACTAGCAAAGAATAGGTCTGTTCTTTCTTAATGACCAGCAGGTTTCTTGCAGTTTTCTTTTACTTCTAGAGAAAATGTGAATAAAGTGTGGATAAAGGGGTTACTGGGAGATCTCGAGGTAGGAATGGTATTAGTGTGTGTACATTTAGCTTGTAAAACTTGGGTTTATTCTGTTGTCTAGGAACAAGCTCTTTTGTCCGGAATTGATTGCTAAAAGGAGTCTATATTTCATGGTTTTGCTGTCTCTGATGTTAGGTGGTTCTTTGCTGCTGTCCTGGAATATATGTGCTTATGGGGAATGAGGAACTTGCTAAAATCCTGGACAAATTTTGTACACTTAGGTTTTATTTGGACACTTGAAAGAAACACGTAAGTCTCTGAGTGCTACTGGACTCAAGAGGTTTAATTCTTAAGAACCTAGCATTTCAGGTTTTTTCCATGGAGATGATGGGAATGCGTCTTGGCTCAAAGTCTGTAAGGCTGGGCTAGCCCACATGATGCAAACTTAGCTGAGATAACCTATCTGAACAAGCAAGTTTGAGACGAGAAGACAGGAAGAAGTTGCTGGCTCTGCTGGCTGGCTCAGTGCAACAAGTATGGTGTATTTTTTGTGAGGCAGAAGCTGTGGTATGTAGAAGCAGACGTTTTCGATCTGCATGAGGTCACTTGCACAAAGCACCAGTTCCGAATTCCAGTTAGGAAAAGGCTTGAGTTCCTTCAATTGAATGGAAGTAGTCATAGCTCCTGTGTAGTAGGATGCAATATACTTGCACAGGGGTTGATTCTCAAGGAGCTATCTAGTTAAGGGATGCTCAGGACCACAAAAAAATTTGTAATAAGCATGTTCGCTAATATGGGAAGCCAGAAGGTAAGTTTTCTGCAAGTAAAAAAAAAAGTAGAAGTTGCCACTTAGAGGGAAGTTGTGAAGCTTGGAAATTTGCCATGTCATATGTGTTCTTGTGCCTGCTTGATTAAGGATGGAATATGCTAGTCAATACTAGATTTGTGAAAGTTTTTTCAGCTTGTCATAAGACTTTTGATGAATATGGCACACAAAATAGGTTTTCCATTTCTGTGAGCAACAAGTAATGATTTGTTGCTATGGTTGACTTTGATAAATTTCCTTCTGCTTTCAGCGTACTTTTAACTGTGAATAGCTTTTCTAAGATGATAGAAATCCATATTAAGTTTGCCTGTAAGATTCACTTTTGGAAAGGCTCTTGGTTTAGCGCACAGATGTATAGTGGGTAATTCAGGGCACAGTTTTCAGCTCCTCTGGGCAATGTTGTCTTCCACTAGACTTTAACTTCAGATTCTTCAGGTGAAGACATTTTTACTATAGCCTGGCAGCTGAAAATTTATTTTCTTCATTAGTTTGCTCAGTTTTTGCTCTTGTCATGATATTAACTTAGCAGGAAGATTTCTGTCCTTGTTAGAGACTGTTTGATTATCTTGCCAACATCTTCTAAATAACATGCTTTCATTGTGCATATTTCTGTTGCTCTGTTACGTTTGTTATTCTATATCTTTACTATAAGAGAGGAGAGAAGCAAGACTGTGGTTATGGCACAAAATAGAAAATAACATACGAGCAAGGAAGTTTTGTTCATTATCAATCTTCAGAAAAAGTACTCGGAAACTCATCTGACAGGGGTTCATCCTACTTGGCATTGGTGAGGGCACATCTGGAATGCTCTGTCCAATTCTGGGCTCCCCAGTACAAGAGAGACATGGCCATACTGGAGAGAGTCCAGTGAAGGGCCACAGAGATGATTAAGGCTCAGTGAAAGGAGGATGGAGCCAGGCTCTTCTCAGTGGTGCCCAGTGACAGGACCAGAGGCAATGGGCACAAACTGAAATACAAGAGGTTCCTTCTGAACATGAGGAAACACTTTTTTTAATGTGAGAGTGACTGAGCACTGGTACAGGTTGCCCAGGGAGACTGTGAAGTCTCCATCCTTGGAGATATTCAAAAGCCATCTGGACATGGTCCTGGACAACCTCCTTGAGCAGGGAGTTGGACCAGATGACCTCCAGAGGTCCCTTCCAACCTTAACCCTTCTACAATTCTGGGTCACTTTGTCAGTGAAGCATCTTCCCTCCCCACCTCACACATTGCCAGCCATTTAGGTATAGTAAATAGTGGATATTGGTTGTGGTACAGTACATGTTGAGGAAAACTTTTGTTGGGTAAGAGTGATCAAATAAGAGAAGTTGCATGAAGCACTAATGAAGCCTGTTTCTGAAGGTAATCCTGAGGTGATTCCTTAGTTTGCCAAGGATTTTCTCTACACACCCAGGTTATCAGCATGCTACCAGTTACACAGCAACTACACATCCTAACCTCTTCTATGGAACAGGTTAACTGAAATAGTGTTGTTTCAAGTGTGTTGTTTTCACCAACCATACAACTAGCTCTTGCCATCTTGGGAAAAACTAGCAAAACACTGAAATCCTTTTCTTTGCTGCTGGTTGTCGGTTGTAGCTTCAATGTGATAAACTGATTGCAAGTTGAGAAGAAGGCTGACTTGCACAGTCGCCTCAAGGAAATTTATGTACAGAATACTTGAGTAGCACACTCTGGTGTCCCCTCACTCTTGTCACTCTTTGTAGTTCGGGTTGCTTGTTCCTGAGCAAACTATTTTTGCTTGACTGTAGCTTCTTGATGAAATCTTTGTTCTGATATCTTTTGTAAAACTTGGTCTGGAAGTGAGTCAATTATTAGTTTACTTTAGGAAATTACTGGCAAATAACTGTCTAGAATTAGAAGAGTAAAATAAGATGGTGTGCAAAGTGTGAGTTCTGTATTTTAGTAGTTTGGTTCTTTGTGAATGTCTCAAGTTACGTAGTGGAGTTTATTTCGATCCAACTTGGATTGTATCCTATTATTGCTGCATACTTTAGAATAAGAAGTTATTTGCATCTTCTTTTTGAAAACATGGGTTGTCACAATTTCTAAATCCAGACCTTGTCTTGAGGCTGTATATATTATAATCTGTGAGATAAGAGTTAAACTGAAAAAGGTAACAGGAGTCCATAAAATCCCTTTGGAAGAAGCACTGTGTGTATTATCTTAATGTGTCCCATCCTGGGTCTAATAACTCTGACATAATAATTTTTTTTCCTGATAAATAGAACAGTACCTATGAAGAAGAGATTATCCTCTTTTCCTGCATCTTCCCTTGCTATAATTTTCTGACTTTGGTTGGACTGAAGTAGCTTCTTAAATCGGTCTAGCGTTATTGCTTTAAGTGTTTGGGCTTATGCTTCGCTACCTTTTTAGGTATACACTAGGATTCATAATACTGTTCACCTACAATAGTCTCAAAGTCCTAAAATTAACTCCTTCAAGGTGTTGTGAAGAACAGGTAACAACCTGTTGTTTCATAGTACAGTGCCATAAGTTTTCTCTGTGCACTATCTTTTTCAGGTCATGTCCGAGGCCTGTAAAGAAACTTGCAGGGTAGACAGATGATACAAGTCAGCATACAGAAGGTGCTCTTTAAGACCAAGATGTTATGTTCCCGTGCAAATAGAACATTAGGTCTGGGTTTTGTGAATGCTGTTTACGTGGATTACTTAAGGTTTGATAGAACTCCTTCACTAAACTTTGTAATACTGTAGAAATTGGGTTGGAAAGTGTTGCAAGGAAGATACTTAATATGGTTTTGAGAAACATGAAAAATAAACCTTTCTTAAAAGTTGTTTAGTCAATGTTTCCTGAATTTTGAAACCAAACTTGCTTCTGAGAGAACCAGAAAAAAATTAAGCTGTGTCTTATTGAGAGTGGATGAACGGGATAGCTTTGTGTACTTTTTTATTGATAATTAAAATACTTTTATTGTGGACTTCTGTTATTAAATATCAAGAAAATGTAATTTGTTTGATGTAGGACATTCTCTAGGCTCCTTTTGATTATAAACATTTTTAATTTTCTGGTTTAGGTGTGGAATATCAAACAGATGATTAAATTAACGCAAGAACACATAGAGGCACTGCTAGACAAGTTTGGAGGAGAGCATAATCCACCATCGATATATTTGGAGGTAAGTTTACGTTCAAATTAATGTGGTTAGATTAATGGTGTTTTATCTTAATCTTATATGAAGCATCTTATGTTAAAACTGACAATACCTGTAGTAAAAGAAAAGATTCTCCTTGTGTATTAGAAACT